TTGCAGAGTGGGGGGTTGAGTAAGGCGTGAGAGGTCTAATATTAGTATCAGGTGAAGAGATAGACTTGAGGAGGATAGGTTATGTTTGATTAAGCTTTGTGTATTAATGGAAACATATGGGCAGTTGACATTTCCCGGCTTCCCACACTATCGGATACTATTTCTTCTCAAGGTACCTGAAAGAAAAAAAGAGTTGTGTGGCCACAGAGGCCATGGAACGTTTGCTTGAGGCCTGTCATACACAGCCTTTTGCGGGATGTTGTTTTGAGGTTTGGTTGTTCTAACGCTGGATAGAGAGAACCTACATCACCAGCACCGGAAGATCATAGGTCATGGCGGAGTGGGTTATTTTTGAAGTCGATCTTTCCTGACTCCTTCTTTCCGTTAGGAAGGCAGCATGAGCGTGACACTGCTGGTCACCCAGGGGAAACACCTTAGTGTTGTCACACCCCATGCAGCTAGCAGCAGTACGACTTCATCCTCAACCCCCCCCCCCATCAAAGCATAGTGATTGACACTATAATGGTAACTGCTTTTTGTCTAACCATTATCCAACAGATTTTTCTGGCATGAGAGAACCTCTAGGAAACAAGCGTTCGACCAGCACAACTCTTTGGGCAATTGTGATATGCAAGTCCAACCATCGCATCAAGGTAGCGGCTATCAGTAGGGCTAGTGACAAGAAAAGATGTCTGTATACTGACGTCTAATGCACAGTATAAAGACTTTCCTAGCTTCGTGCCGATGAAGTACAAATGTAATAAACGGGTATCCAGATAAGTTCATCAAAGCAAACATCAATACCAGAATTGATCCTAAACGATAATTGATGACACTGGAGAAGAAGCCTTTGTGTCTGCGTTTACAGTTTACAGAAAATGCTCTAAGTGACATCTTATCACATCGCCTAGCTAGAGCAGTCAATAGGACGTTTTTATGCAGATCGTCTTCGCACAACTTTCAGAAGTCGGTCAATACTTGATCCGAGATTAAAGGATAGCCTACATAATCCTAGCTCTTCATGTTGTATATATTAATTTAACTGTTCCTGTGGAACTAGTTACAAAGGGTGTACTATTAGGGAGTTGTGTCCGAATATGAGAGCATTTACCAGCTTGGTTCAGAAAGGGTGAAGTGGAAGTAGTGAAAAGTTCCCTCCCAGCTCATCAAGTAAACATAGAGCATCACGAAGATGCTTATAAAGCTTTCAATGTCATACATCATGCATCAAAAACAATACTACTAATATTTGCTCAACGTAGCTGAGCCTGTCACAATAAGGTTGATCAAACCTGAAATGTGCATTCAAAAAGAACATATCCAAGCGTTATTCCTTCTTCATTCAGCCTTCAGTAAATTAAAGGCCACTCTCCTATTTTCGTTATTTGTTGTTGTATTTGTTCCTAACTTGGTTTGATTTCACGCTGTAAAAATACATTTTATAATCGTAGAACCTGATGACAGAATTCCATTGAAAAGAATATTTTCCATTGTTCAGATTGTTGTATTTTTTATTAAGGAATTTAATCATACATACAGACAGACATGTTATCCCTTTAAATATCTAAGTAAATAATCTTAAGGAGCAACGCATACTCCTTCTTCTGTTAAAGAAATTCTGATCCCTATTTCTTACCTTCTCTCTTTTATTTCTTATCCTTTCTCAAACTGTTAATCAATAACTAAATAGGTAAATAATCTTAGTTCATTGTTTGCTATTTCCTGAGAAATTATGAATCATAAAACTTTTCACTTACTGGTTTCATTCGTCAATAAATTTGATAATTAGGAAGAAAAAACAATTCAATTTTGAGGTTTGCAGAGATTTATCTATTGATTTCAGGTTAGCATTATTCATCATGGATTGTTATCAGCTGGAGAAACATTGGGAACCTGGGAACAGTGAATGGCTGTTTTGCTCTAGTATAGGACTTCTGAGCAAAGCGCACCCCACCCACCTTACCGAAGATCAAACCCACGACTTTCAGGTTCCTCAGCCAGCATGTTACCATTGAGCCAATGGGTTGGAATTCAGTATTCCCAATTTCCTACTTCTATCAGTTCATGACGTAGGGCGACCTCCATCCAATGTCGTCATCGAGTAACTGTCCTCATGTTCGACTTGGTTGGCCCCATCAGTCACGACTTTTCATTGGAACTTCGGGCATCACCTCTAGGAGGCAGGTCACCAATGAACACTAGATTAATTCAATAGGCAGGTTACTTGTCAAGGCATGAAATACTTGGTAAAGCCTAAGTGTGTAACTCATTGCATAACGTATGGGTTAGAGTAGTGGTCTTCCCCCCACACCCCAGCGGTAATTAGATGACAGAGTATACGAGTACTCAAGCTGAGTAAACCAAGATGATATTCAGAATGCACGATTACAAGTGGTTGAAAAACATCATATATATCAATGCCAGTGTATCACATATAGTAGATCGATTTGTAAGAAGAACATAGACAAGTAGACAGATCAACGGAAAATCATTTCAAGTTGCTAAGTTTCATAACAGTGGAATTCAGCAGTTGTTTGATCGATTGCAAGCCATGTTATCGACAACTTCCAGCCAACGATTGCTGGGATATTGGGACTAACAAGACAGTTTGCATTTCCCTATACGACTCAGACTAAGTCGAAATCTTCATGAGATTGACGTCATCACCATTAGCATGTTAGCAATCTAATTCCATTTCAGTTCATATTATTATTTGAGATAGGATGGTTCCGTATGAAACAGACGTGGAAAACCTCGATAGGAGAAACTTTGCAGGTAAGGCGTTTAATACAACCAGCCAAGTATTCAGACATTATCAAATGATATGGTAAACACAGATTTGCGCATAGAAATTTATCGCTTGCCTGTCTAAACATTCCAGATCGAACAATTCGATCGAATAAAACAACAGAGAATTACAAGTATATCAATAAATAGTAATAACTACTACCTGTTGTACAAGAAGTGGCTATCGTTCCTCCATGGCATAGTGAATAACGCCTTTGTATTTGAAACGATGAGTATGAGGTGAGAGTCTCGGTGGGAACAACATCACTAATCACTGGGGTACAGGTACACCCACCTGACGAGTCCCAAACAGGACGAAACGCGCGTCCTGCACTCCACTGCTAGCTACAACCAACTAAATTACCATAATTCCATGTTTGGTTGACAATCCAAAAACTGTAACAATGATAATTCAACTCAGCATTTACATACAGATTTATCTATCAAGTCATAAACTACAGCCTAGTTTATGGCCCGATTACTTAAAACTTCAAAAGTTTGAGCATGCTTTAAACCTATCGCTTAGCGTCTGAAAGTCGAGTTGCTAGACATATCCGCCACATATCTACTAAATAATATGATGGTGATAGGAAGCGGTCTAAATCGAAATCAACATTTTAAGCCATCACCTCTGCTAGGGTAGAAGTTTTGGCTTTCGACTTTGTTTCATATTACTGTGTGGGAAGAGAAAAAATTATTAGACGACTTTGCCCTTCAACTAACGAATCAGAAGAAGTGCCCATCTTTTGACCTAGTACCTTTATTTTTTGAGGAAAAACTGCATATAAATTATGTGTATTTTGTCAAATAAAGTGGTACGAAGATTGACTTCTTGATAAATAGTCTATGATAGAAGCATCAACAGGTATGGAGTGAGTACATTTTCGAGAACACCCGAATACATCATGCACACTGGTGAGGAATTCGACGTCTAGTTTCGGGTTTTGTTACCATGAGATTTCCAACATTTAAAGATCTTACTAGCGTGTCTTAGCACACCGTATTTAGATGTCATCAGCATGAGAATGGACCTACAACCCAAACATTTCGCATAGGTAAGCACGCCGGCCAACTGAGCTTGGTTTTTGTATATATAGGTATGTTTGGTAATGATCCTTCCGCAGGTTCACCTACCGAAACATGATTACGACTTTTACTTCTTCTGAATGATCAAATTAGGTCATCTTCTCGACATCAATCGAGTGGTAGAGCAACTTCAACGATACCAATCCAACGACTTCATTCATTCAACCGGTAGAATGTAGATCTCCAAAACAAGCATTTATCCGTTCAACTTGTTATCACTCAAAACACCGTCAAAGGCGAATACTAACAGAAGTAGAAAGAGGTTTTAAGTGAATACAGAACAACCAGATTTATGGGAAAGAATGAATGCTAGTTGGATGGAGGGAATCAGCAAGAAGCCCTGCTGTATCTGGGTTTTGTCCTTGTTGGCATTCGTCAGCAATGCGTATCTGAAATCTCGAGAAGAGACTGATGTCATACCTGAGATGCAGACCCGCAGTCAGCGAGCTATTCGGATCACGAGTGACCTCCTGTAGGACAGGATTAGGTACATTGACTGGCCAATCAATAATAAAAGCATAGATGCATTTGCACCGTCCATGTTAAACAGACTCATTAGTCAGCCAGATAGCCTAAACTTCCTTATACAGATAAACATTAGCAATGCGAAGTTTTAGTCTGGACACTTTGTTTCATTAAAATCTAGTCATACTTCAGTTGGCATAGCATTTCATAGTTGATAGTCGGTCGAAATATATATCACATACTTCACTCAACTGTAACACAGTGTAGGTCTGTCGCCTCACCAACTGATTTCCCTTTCTTATGTAACTATTGTATTCCTAAAATTTCTCGCTGTTTAGTTCCACTATATGCCAATAATGTTATAATATAAAAAAACAACTATGATCGAATCCTTGCAAAATTTTGGATGTAGTCCGACACCAACAATCTTCTTTAACAAACGACCAACAGAAGATGAAAGAAACACAGACTGAGGCTCAGTATAATTGAGCAGCAAACAGGCAGTAGGACGTTTTGTCAAAGTCAAAGATAGTTAAACTCTGGAAAACCTTACCGGTACTATATCCGTACTGAAGATACCAAAAACTAGTGTCTTTGGGGGGGGGGGGGGGTTATAATACAGCTTCCTAACTAAGCATAACAGCAAGACAAGCTAAACTTACCAAGAAACAAATATAATCCAACAATTAAAGCACCAGGTGTCAATAGAATTGCTCGTTGTTGTATTTGAAAATCTTCGCCCAACTCTGAAATCGGTATACAACTCCCAGTGACTGGATGAGTAATACGATCACTTCGAGGATATTTAATTGGACCAGTTTCATTCGATTTCCAACCAGGTGAAAATGCACGTAGACTAGAATATGGACAGACAGGATTCAATAGAAGTCCATAGGTGAAACACACTCCATCCACTAATACCATACAACAGAATGAGCCTAAGACAACAATCCAACCCCAACCACCATCTGGTACTACATCTTGGGCACTGATTTCTGATGGAAGAAAAATTAAAAATGAAAAGGATAATGATATGTATATAAGTGACTCAGTTATAAAACCTTACGATAAACATTAATTCAGTGATGAGAGGCTCATTTTGATGATTTCATTCTGAAAGCTGTACACGGGTTCGAACTCCGTTCCATTCATCAAGGTTTGAGGAGTCAGGTAGTATCATTAGCCTTCCCACACAATAGGTGAGGTTCATTGCCCGCAAGTGCACGGACGTGCATAAGGCTGGTGAGTGCGGTCGTTTTTATCGACACCGTGAAACCTGAAGGTCCTAAGTTCGATCCTTATCCAGGTTGTGGGTGTGTACTGTTGAGGAGTCCATCCCGGGACGAAACAATTGTTTAGTGCTCCCAAATCTTCAGTAGTTCTCCAACTTATGTCAGTTTATGATGAATACTACCTCAATATTAAAATCTTCCATTAACTTCAAAGTAACTATAGTCGTTACCTGTGCACACACCACTTCATCTATTCCTGTAGAGTTAGATATATCAGTTATTCAACACGAGTTCTGTCCAAAAGGATTCAAGAACACTCTTTTGTATAGCTTCAAAAAGATGGTAGCAGTCGCTTAGGGAGGGGGATAATTGAAAAAACCACATCGATATGACTATGCAATCTTAACAAACTTGTGTTTCACAACTATCAACACCGTTAAAAAAAACAGGAAACTTTCAGATTTCAATCAATCAATCAATATCAACATAGGACCAGCCATTACTGCGTAACGGTCCCAGTTGCCACACCTCATATCAGTACATCAAGCAGAAAGGTAGTGAGGTGAAGGATGAAGATAAGAGAATGCAGTCAAAAGAAATATAAAGTACGAGAAGAAGGAAAAGAGGAGTGAAAAAATGGTGAGATTCAGTATAGCGTCGTTAAGATGAGGATAATGTGTGTATACATCTGCTCCACTGACATCGGTTCTGAGCCACATCACCTAGAGTCAGTCTCCAACTACTGGTTCCCCTTGTCCCGCAGGCCCCAACCGCCTAGTCTGCGTCGCCTCACATAGCTCAAACCAATAGTCAGAGACTTCATGCATTGGTGTCATGTTTTTAGTCTGGCCACCTCGAGCCTTTTCTAGCCTGAACCTACTTCCACCAACATTGTGTGACGAGGCAATCGGTGATTGGGCATACGTAACCCATGTCCCAACCATCTCAGTCGATGAAGATTCACAACCTCGTTAACTGACTTACCTCTTCTCCCCAAAACTCGATACTTGACTTCTGCACTACTCACGTGGCGGCATCATGGAATACAGCTTATACTACAAAGGCAACGGTAGGCAAGTACCTGAAGCCTTCCCATGTCTTCCACCTTCAATGACCATGTTTCACAGTCATACAGTAGAACAGAGCGGACTGCTGTGCATGTGCAGTACGCGCGACCCTTAATCGGATATTAAGGCCGCGCCACAGATGGTATAAGTTGGCAAAAGCCAGTCGAGTCTTTTATATTCGTGCAGAGATTTCATCGGCCACTGAAAAACTAGGATGATCCCGCTTCCCTGGTCGACACATTCAACCACTTCACTCTCTATTGTTAGCTGTAGCACCCTTGAGCAACAATTTGCATTTCGGTGGTAAGAAACGCATCCCAAACATTCTCAAATTGACACTCAGAGTGTCCAGAACACTCTGCATCTTGTCAGCGTTTTCACCTAACAGGACTATGTCATCTGCATATTCTAGGTCTCATGAAAATCCTCCACCGATTAGGTCAACCTCTGTGTAGTGAGGTGACGAAACGGAAACCTCCATAAGAATATCTGTGATGAAAATGAATAAGAATGGAGAGAGTGGGCACCCTTGACGGACACCGCTCGACGAGCACAGCTCCCTGAACATCTCACCATAGGCTCTAACATGCCTACAGCTGTTCCAGTAGACAGCCTTCAGTAAGGTGATGTAATTACTTGGCACGCCTTTCAGTGAGACATTACCACTAGACTTCTCGATCAACGGAGTCGAATGCCGCCGCCTTCAGGTCGAGAAATACAGCTAGTGTCGGGCGTCGATAAGCGTGCCTGTGTTCAGGAACCTGGAGCAGTGCGAATATTTGGTCGATACACCCGCGGTCGGGTCTAAAGCCTTCCTGGTTTTCTTGGGCTTACTGTTGCCGAGCTCCACTCAGGTGTTGAAGAATTATAATACCTAGGATTTTAGATACTATGTTCGTCAGGCTGATTCCTCTGTGGTTATCACAAGAGGACTTCACTTTCAAAGTTAGTACGTGTTTGCTTCCATTGTATATTGCTGAAGCAATAACAACAATTGCCATCAAGGATTCAGAACTTTACATACAAGAACGATTTGTTCTACCTCTTCTACTTTCGTAGTGTTAATCTTCAGCACTATTTAAACTACAACCTTTTTATTGCCATCTTCTATTCTCCTTACTTCTTTATTTGTGATATCAATTCTTACTTCTTCCTATGCCTTTTATGATAAAAATTCATTCTTCAAGTATTTTATCATGTTCTGATGGAAGAGTTTTGGTGATATTATTATTAGTTGGTACTTGGAATTCTCCGTTCTTATAATGGATCGAATTGGATCGACCTTTGTCGGCATACCGGTACCTATGAGGATACTTAGATGTTGTCTGAATGTCTATTGTTCTAATTGACTTGGTTGTGGCTACCAGTGAAATCCAGAACGCGTGATTCATCCCAACTTAGGACTCTTTAGCTGGATATACCTGCACCTCAGCGAGTGATGTTCTTCCCACTGAAATTCTAACCCGGTAGAGCAACGGACAACTACAAGTACCCATTGTACAAGTGGTGGTTTTCATGTCCCAGTGGCCTAGTCAAATAGACAGACAAAGTCGATGTGAAAGCTCATACGAAAATGCTCCGGTTCAAGTTGTCACACTTCACAGTAGTACACAAACAACAGGTGGATAGAATAAGAGTTATATCAGAGTGGACAAGGTTGTGCTACAGAATAAACAATCTGAAGATAAAGGTCAGTGAGAATATTCAACGTCAACGAGTGAATACATCTGAGTCACCATGACCGATTTCCAGCCATGTCACCCAGAGTTATCAACCACTGGTTCCTTTCTTCTCGGGAACCCCATCAAGGTAGTCTGCATCTCCCAACACGGACCAGACCAACAGTCAGAGACTTCATCGACTGGTGCCACATCTTGGTCTCGCTAGCCTAAACCCTCAACCTACCCTAGCATAGTACGTTGTGGCACGCGGTTTCTTGGCATGTGCAGTAAATGTTAAAGTCATCTCAATCAACTAAGGTTCGTCTGACGAGTCCCAAGTAGGATGAAATGCACATCCTGAATTCCATTGCTAACCATAAACAAGTGGACTACAGATAAATGATATTATGTCAGTACTTAGAAACATATCACAATACACAGGAATTCATTTACAATGGTTTGGTTTTAACTTGATTATATCCAGTAAGGAATAGTTAGAAAATACAATCACATGATACATAGTTCAAGGTTAAATTTTAGATGATAACATATTGGTATGAAATGAACTTGTTTATTAGATGTTGACACTCCATTAGGGTTGAATATAAAATCATACAGGATAAAGTTCTTTTTATTTTGCCTAATATACCTCCAACCTTAAATGGAGTATGACTTTTGAGTTAAGAAAATTCATATACCTTTTCCTCTTGACTATCAAAAACTGTTTGAATATGAATGTTACATTCAACGATTGATTAGACATCTGCTAACAGAAATCACAGATCACAAAGGATATGTGTGTGTGTGTGTGTGTCTGGGGAAACAAAATGAAACAAGCAACTCGATATGCTGGAAACTAGATGAGTTGCCTATTTGAAAGATATAAGGAAAATTAGATTCTCATATTAGTGAAAATAACTAACGGAATGTAACACAATTGTATATTGGACTTTATTGACTTGATGAATACACATCTTTTCGATAGTTGCCAAGAGTCAATTCGTACAAGAAAGTGTACACTTCAGGATGGAAACAGACTCTATTCAATAATGGATCAAGTTATTTCCAGTGACAAAAGGAAGGAAATGAAGATGCAGAAGGCATCGTTAGTTGAAAGAATCACGCCAAATGTAGATGTTAGTCAATTTTGGATCCTCATAACGATGAATACATATAATCAGTAGGTTCCCCGTACTGAATACCATCCAATGGAGCTATGGCTTATTCGACTAAGCAGTTGAATGTCAACCAGGTTTCAACTATGCTGAACCTATAGAGGTTTGACCAATCAAGTAGTGACATCAATTCACATACGACACGCGTATGGCTCATTATCTTATACACGAAAATTCATATTGTTGCTGAATTTTGCAACATTTTTTGACTGACGGTTCACAATAATATCTCAATTATCCTAATTGTTGTAGGTTTACAACCTAGTTATCTAATATAGTCGTCTCTCATGGAACACATAATGACCAACACATGATACGTATCAGTTCAATTTATCATACATCGAGGAATATTACAGTTGTTCCTTATTATTATTTGTCCCTTAGGTTCCCAGTGGGAAATAGGGCTTCAGTAGCATGTCACCATTTCATTCTCTTCTCTGCAGTCCTCCTAACCTGGCTCCATGACTTCCCATAATCTTTCGTTTCTTCCTCACACCATCTCTTCCATGTCACCCTCGGACGCCCAACTCGTCGTTTTCCCTTTGGATTCCACTCGACGGCCTGGCCTGACGCGTGACGCCCCCCCTCAGTGTTCGGTGATGGGTTGTTCGTCAATTCGTTGCCAGGCCAGAGTTCCTCCTTGCTTATTCTTTCTGACCACCTGATCTTAGTATGGAGCGTAGGCAGCTGTTGATGAATATCTGTAGTTTGTAAGAAATGCTTTTCGTAACGTGCCAAGTCTCTCAACCATCCATGACACAGAAGCACTGACTTACTTGACTGACATTAGTGTTGAAAATCCGGATCTTATTCTTTATGGTCGGTGCAGTACAGTGCAGATTTCAGATTAATTCAGGAAGACCTGTCTTACTGTCTTTCTGATCCTGGCTTTGACGTCCTCATCTGCGCCGCCTGTATTTGAAACGTTGCTGCCTCCTAGGTAGGTGAAAGAGACAACTTCGTTTAGGTTTCTCCCATTAATGGTGATTGGTGCTTGTTGTCGTTGTTGTTGTTGTTGTTGGTGGTGGTGGTGGTGGTGGTTGGGTATCTTGATCACCTCTATCCTCTCTATGTTCACCCGAAGGAAGTGCCGTCTTCCTTGGCTACTCTATCCTGCCTCTTCTGCTAACTTGTTAGTTTTCGCCCATAGATCTTTGAGTTTGTGCGGTATAAGACGTTAAACATAAATCACCATTGCCAAAATCCAGATTTTCTAGGGTCTTTTCATCGGTCAAACAGCGTATGCCAATCTTCTCGCTCCTCACAGTTCCTTTCCTGATCCAGTCCACTCCAGTCGAGTCGAGTCGACCACAATCAGGAAGATTATCGCTGGTAGTAGGTGGCAACCTTATCTTAGTCCTGTCTTCGCTTCAAAGGTATCACTGAGCTTTCCATTATGAATTACTTTGCATGTAGCATCATATAGCATATAGCTGCTGTTGAATGAGGTTGATAAAGGTTTGTGGCACTAAAACCGTAGTGATGTAGTTGCCAAATTACTTCTCGGTCGGTGCTATCGAAGACCTTTTCAAAATCGATGAAGTTGAGGCAAAGAGTTGACTGCCATACAGTTGTTCTTTACTGTTGTCGATTTAAATCACATTTCGCCTAATAAAGTTATCCACTTCTAAGTTGAGTATTACTTCTTGATTATAAGTGAGTGAGTGCAAACGAGTCAAGTCACCCAATCAGAGTAGAGCAGATCAGGCTAAAAATTTATCGGGGTATGCAACTGAAATGCAAGTTTGTGTAAGATAAAAAGTCATACATCAATTATTAAGGTGATCTCTAGTTTAAACTAATCAATGAGTGAATTATTTAAGAAATAAATGATATAATCAGAAACAGGCCAACCAGAGCTGCTATTGCTTTCAGATTTGCACATGATGTCGTTCCTATTATGCGTAAGTAACTCCAATGATAGATGATATGTTTACAATCATACGACATGCATATTGACAGTAAAATAAAAGTTATTTTAATAACTGATCCTAATTAGTACCCAACATATTTTTCATTGTATAAAAAATATACGTGATTCTATATGGCTTGGGCAACAGTATGCTACAGCATTAGTGGGATCATACTGATAAGATAATTTGATCAAACCCTTCGAGTATGCGTTCTTTAACTCCTATATGCACAAATCTATAACATGACAATTGATGTACAATGTCAAACGAATTTTAACAGACTACCATGGATTACTGCACAAAGGTTCAAGTTGCCCACAATTCATGTCAGCACAACAAGTAACAAAGCAGTAAGAAGAGAGACGAAGAAAGAAAGAAGAATCGACTGAAAGTAGTAGAATGCAGTAAAAGAACAGAAGGAGGAATGAGAAAATCTTGAATTCAGTGTAGCTGTTAAGACGAGGATTATATGTGTATACATCTGTGCGACTGACATCGATTCTCAGTCATATCACCTAGAGTCTCCAACACCTGGTTTCTATTGTCCCACGGACTCCAACCGGCTAGTCTGCATCACTCTACAAAATGGTTCAGACGAACAGTCAAGGACTTCACCTATTAATGGTATGTTTTAGTCTGACCGCCCCGAACTTTTTTGCAGCCCGAATATACTTCGGCCAAGATTGTGAGATGAGGCAGACGGTGGTTAGGCACACGTACCACATATCTCAGTTAGCCATCTCAGTCAATAAACGTTCACAACCGTATCAACTGTCTTACCCCTCCTGCCTAGAAATCTATGTCTGACTTCTACGTCACTCACGTGGTGACACCACGATACACGGTCTATACTACGAAGGGTACGGTGGTCAAACACCTGAAGCCTTCTCATATAGTCTACCTTCAATGCGCATGTTTCACAGGCATACAGTAGAACAGAGTGGACTGCAGCACAGTACACTCGAACCTGAATAGGCAATTGGATGTTGTGGCGGTGCCGCAAATGGCGAAAGCCAATCCAGCCTTTTATATTCGTTCAGAGATTTCGTCGGTCCGACTTCTCAGGTAAGTGAAGTGGTCAACGCACTCAACTGCTTCACTCTCTACTGTTAGACACGGTAACGTTGAAGAGTAATCCTAGAGCAATAGTTTGCATTTGTGCAGCTATATATGCATCACAAACATTCTTAAATTGCCATTCAGTGTGTCCAGAAGACTCTAAATCCTTTCAGCGTCTTCATCTAACAGGACTATATCACCTGCTTATTGTAGGTCTAGTAAAATTCTCCTTTGATCAGTTCAATCTCTGTGCAGTCAGATGACGAGACGGATACCTCCATAAGAACATTAACAACATTCAAGTTTGTCAGATGAGTGAAAAATGAAACAGATTTTCTGTAACTGCTCCGGAATTTCTCTTGACCCAGTAGATTTTGACTAACATACTCACTCATTAAACGTTAACTTCTACGTATTACTTAGTTTCGAGTTGCTTAACATCATCCATAAGCACGAATAATAATAATAATAATAATAATAATAATAATAATAATACATTGATAACAATAATAAATCTCACCAGGTACGGATGTATGATAATTTTGATCAATAACAGTCCCAGGCGCAGTTGTTTGATACTGAACAACATGATTTCCTCGATGCTGAACTAAGCCTGCTTCTGTCTCTCTTAAATTATTACATTGTGATGAATAGTGAGATGTTGCATCAATGGATAATTCACCAGGACCAGCTATATAACCTGGTGGTAAATTCCCGGTGGAAGGAGGAACTGGGTTATATGTTTGAGATTGTTGTTGTTGTTGTTGTTGCTGCTGCTGTTGATGATCTTCTCTTACCTTTTCATGTAATTCCTAGGGAAATTAAAAGACAATGAAGGACACCTGCTAGTTAATTGAATTCCAAAGTTAATCAATGTTCGACAAAACTTTAAAATGGGAATATTTCCAAAGTGTGATATGTAATCGACATGCAAAATGCTACAAATATGAAGTCGTCATTATGTCTAGACAATGAAACAGTAGGACTCGAACTTGGAAAACGAAGGCCAGTGAAAATTCTGAGGAAGCGATTTCGTTTAATTTTGAAGTTTATGGGGGTTTATTGACTGCAGGTTGGCATTCACCATCGCCGTAAACCTCAAAATCAAATTAATCTAATGGTTATTGTTGACTAGTCGTGACGAGTAGAGCCAACCAAGTAGAACATGAAAACAGTTAATCGACAACCGTATCGAATGGAGGTCGTTCTATATTGTGAACTGAAATAAGTAGGAAATATAGACCATTGGATTTCGACCCAGTGGCTCAATGGTAATGTGCTGGCTGCGGGACCTGAAGGTCGTAGGTTCGACCTCCAAGGGGGTGGGCGGGGTTATGGATGCGTACCGCTGAAGAGTCCCATACTCAGACGAAACAACTGTCCAATGCCTCCAAATCTTAATGTTTCTCTCATTGATGTCAGTCCATAATGAACACTAAACTAAAATCAAATAATTTTCTTGGCCAATTTTTAAGTATAGAAGACTAGAAAAAGGATAAGGAATCAGTAAGCTGAACAATGATATAGATAATCATGAAACATTTGATTAAACTGTCTGATATGTCGTTGGTTACTTAGCTGAACTTAATGTACGCGGAAGATTGGACGTAAGAGCTAGAAAGCCACAAGAGGTAATTGGCTCAAATCCGGGTGTTATCCAAGGTCCCTTTTAACTGGGATTACCGACTTTCTGAGTAAAAAAAATTTGGGAGAGAAAACAACAGCAACAACATCACTTGAAGAAATTGTAAAGTGTACCTTTAAAAATAGTCTTAGATCTTCACTGCCTGTACTATCTTCATTTGCTTCGCATTGTAGTCGATCGACTTCTTCAGGTGATAATTGGTCATCTTGTTTTGTTGATTTTATGGTTGGACTAGCAGGTTCAGTAGATTTTTCAGTCATGTAGAGAAGATCCTAAACCTTGACTCTTCAAGTGTATGTGTTTATCTGTCCTTTACGAAACCAAGTATATTGTTGAAATAACAAAAAATTCAGATTGTGCCTAGAAGAAACATTGAACAAAAATCAGGAGTAATGTATTTTTGAGATGAATGAGGATTTTAATTTAGAGGTAGTGTTCATCACGGTCTGACATCAGTTAGGGAATCATTGAAAATCTGGGAGCACTGAAAAGCTGTTTCGTCCTAGTATGGGACCCCTCAACAGCAAACTGAGTTCGATCCCTAGCCGTGTCGTGGGTGCGTACTGTTGAGGAGTTCTATACTAGGAGGAAACAGCTGTCCAGTGCTCCTAGGTTCTCATTGATGTCAGCCCGTGAAAAATTAATTCGTTGGTGAGTAGTTACGCCAAAGCTAGATGCAAATAGAAGAACAGATAATAAACAAATGATCTAACACAAATGAATATCGATACGTGACGTCACAATACACAAAGAAAAAGTGCCATATTTTAATTCAGCCACTTTTAAATTTTCTTCAAACTAACCACAACTAGTGTACCACGTTAACTAACAATCAGATACCATCTGAATAGGACTTGGCATTGTTGAGTAATGGTCCTAGTTACCACAAATACCAAGTGAGAATGAACTAAGATTAAACATTCAAAAATGTAGGAGAAAGCAGTCAAGAAAGGGTAGAAAGTCGTAGTAAGATACTATGGATAAATAAGAAAACACTGAATTCACTATGACGCTGAAGATGACAATAGATGACATCTGCGCCACTGCAATTGATTCCAAATCATATCACTTAGAGTCTCCAGTCTGACGAAACACACACCTGACAAAATCAATGAAGAACGTTATACGCAGGTGGATAGGAAAAGGCTGATATCAAAGTAGACAAAGTTGTGTAAGAGAATAAACAATCTGAAGATAACGCTTACTGCGAATATTCAAGCTTAAGAAGATGTCAGAGAGTGAAAACATCTGAGCCAGTCACCTATTTTCAGCCATGTCGCCAACAGTCATCAAACACTGATCCCTTTCCTCTCGGGGACTCCAACCAGGCAGTGTATATCTTCCCATACGGTACAGACCACCAATCAGGGACTTCACGAACTGGTGCCAAGTTTTGGTCTGGCCACCCAAAATCCTTTTACAGACTAGTCCAGCTTCCCATAGCATAGTACGTTGAGGTAGGTGGTGGTGGCTAGGTATGCACAGTACGTGTCTAAGCCATCTCAATCGACTAAGGTTCACAACCTTATCAATCGACTTGCCTGTCTTGTCACCTAGTACCCCTCGCCTGACGTCAACAATATTCACATAGTGACTCCACTAAACGCGCGCAATGCTACAAAGACACTTGTGATAAAAACATTGTAACCGCTTCATATCGTCTACTGTTAACGGCCATGCCTCACAGCCATGTAGAAAGACGGGACGAACTGCAGTATAGCATACTTGTCCTTTGATAGATAGTCAGATATCTCGTCAGTTGGCGTCATACATGATGCAAACTGGCAAATGACAAACGGGTCTTCTGTATTCAGTTTGAGACTTCGTCAGTAACTCCTCACGTAAGCGAAGTGGTCGACACATTCCACTACTTCACTTCCTATCAATAGTCAGTCTCCAACCACTGACTTGTTTGTCACGCGTATCCTACATTCTCTTACATGGCTCAGACCAACAGTCAAAGACTTCAAGGACTGATTACATATTTTGGCTTAAACGTCTCTTATGCCTTTCCAGCCTGGACCTGCTTCAGCTAACAATGTGCGACGGGCAGACGGTGAGTGGGTATGCGTAGCTTATGCCACAACTTCAACCAGCTGAGTAGATGAAGGTTCACAACCTCATCAACTGACTTATCTCTTGCGCCTAAAACTCGAAACCAGACTTCCGCGTCACTGACTTGGTGGTATCATGACACATGGTCTACGGAACGGAGGCAACAGGAGTCAAGCACCTGTAGTCTGGTCATGTTCTCTACCTTTAATGGTCATGTTTCATAATTATACAGTAAAATAAAACAAATTGAAGGGCAGTGTATTTGAACCTTATCAAGTAATCAGAAATCAGGGAGGCATAATAAATGGAATAAGTTGGTGGGTCTTCTGTATTCGTACAGAAATCTGGTTAGTTACTGACTCACCAGGGTTCACATGGCTTCCCAAATAAGTCAAGCGGTTAATGCACTCAACCACTTCATAAGACACCAGTGAAAATCAGTTCTGGAAAACGATTCGTACTTTAGTGGCAAGAAATACATCACAAACATTCTCAAACACACTCAATGTGTCCGGAGGACTAGATCTTGTCAATATCTTCCCCGAACAGGACTGCATCATCTGTGTACCCTAGATCTATTAGGGAATATCCTGTGATAGGATAAATTCCCGTAATATCAGACGATGAGAGGCAGTACATCAGTGACAAAGTTGAATAAAAATTGAGAGAGTCAACATCTTCGATGGACACTACTCAACTTACACAACCCACCATGCACACACATGTTCTAGTGCGGGGTCGTCAAAAAAGTGATGTACTTACTTGGTACCCCGTTTATTGAGAAATTGCCATAAGACCTCTCAATCGACGGAGTCGAACGCTACCTTCGGGTTGGGAAACACAGATATTATGGGGCGTCGGTTAGTGAGCCTGTGTCCCAGAACCTAGTGGATAGTGAATATCTGGCGAGTACACCCACGACCAGGCCCTAAACCTGCCTGTTTTTCGATGGTTCCCTGTTCCCTAGCTCCATTTGGGTACTTGAAAATTACAGAACCTAGAATCTTAAACATTATGTTCATCAGACTGGTTCTCCTATGGTTAGCCCGGTTTTTTCCCCTTTCTTGAAAACTGGGACAATCAGTGAGTGAGACCAGTTGAAGCGGATCATATATAAATCCCATACGCGAGTTGACACTTCAGTTAACTTGACAAATAATCCCCCATAGCTGTCCTTAAATACCTCCGGTTCTAGTTTGTTTCACCTTACTACTACTCCTCATTTCAGATTACTTACAGCTTTCTTGATTTATGCAAGTGATAGAGGCCCTAACGTAGTGCTCCACTCAGGATCCAACTGGATAGTGGGCAGCCAGTGGCTTTTTTGTTTCAGCTTTCTTAATAAGTCTAAATAAATCTCTATTGTTACTTATTGCCGCTGCCTTTTACACTTCTTTATCCTTTACTACCCCCGTACGGCTTGTGGTCATTCTGCACACTTCTTATCAGTCTACATTTGAGTTGCGCCTACTTCTCACTCTGCTTGGAATCTGTAAGAATGCATTTGCATGCATCCATTAATTCAGAAGAAGCTGTTGAGATTCATTGACCCTTTCTAACGACTTTGTGAGTCATCTACGATCTTTAACCCTAATTTTACAGCAAACTGAAGATGGCGTCAGGCTTCTTCGTGGTGAGTGTTGTTTTGTTCTGATAAATGTTTAGCTAGTTCCCCATCGAAAGCAAACTTGGTATTTTTATCGCCAAACAGCACTCGCAATAGTCTTGTCGCTGTAGTTTTCCCATATCAATTTAGTCACGGATATGGGTGTTTGAACCAACGCGTGACCACTGTCTAAGCACGTGCCTCAGAAAAAGCAGCAACCGTTTCTACTGATAACTGATAGCTATATGGCTTATCTATGTCCACTGTTGAGTTGAAGTCGGCGAACGCCATTTTAGACACTGTCTCTTTGTATGAAGTTTATGTTGGACAAAAATAGATAGTTGCTTGAGCACAGCTGTAGCAGGCGATCAACATTATCTATCTGTTCGGCTGGGATTCCAAAAGTTCTACCTAAGTGCCACTCTTTCTGACTTAGTCGACCCACTTTCGCATTGAAATCAGCTGCTACAACAACCACGTTCGCACGTTTTAATAAGTGCTCTGTGGTCAAACTAACAAACACAAAAACCCTTGAAATTTTCAATACTGGATTGTCCCGGATAATATGACAGTCTTCAACAAGCCCAACGACACGCACTCACCGTTCAATACGGTAGAGATTTCTAGATGTCAGTGAGTTCACATGACAGTTTAAAAAAAATGACAGGAAATCGTTCTTCGGCTTATTAACTAAGGATATTCAATTTATCGAGATGCTTCAGTCAGTTCAAAAAAAGGGGTTCGACAGGATATCAAAAATAAACTCATATAATTTGTCGCCATTTCAACAGGAGCTTACAATACACACAAGCATAAATGTGGATAGCCTTTACTTTAGACTCTATCTCTCTTTTTTGTACGGCAGCAAAGCTTTGCCTGCTCAATTCTGATTTCGATGGTTAGCATCGGAAAAACTAAGTTAGTGATCTAAAGAGATTAGTGAAACTATATGTATCAAATAATGGATAGTGAAAAGCAAGAGAACAAAATAAAAGAATTTAACAGTATAAGAACATATTCAGTGTTTTCGAAGAAGATAAATAGTGTAAAAACCCTCACTAGCGGCGTCCATTCTGAGTGACTTAGTTTGCATTTAAATGCTTACTTACCCCCACCGGAAACTTTACTATAATTGAAAACACAGCTTAGACCAGTGGTAATTGGTTTTGTGAATCAATGTCATTTCATTTCAGCTTCTCAACGTGGTCTTCCCGCTTACATCTACTCTACATTCCATCAATTTTCAAAACGCATCCTAATCATGAATGCATAAGACATTTTACATGTTTTAACAGAGATATTCAACTCAAACAATTGATGTGCGAAACTTAAACACGATTCCAAAAACTATCGATTCACTCCTTATAACTGGTTTTGGAAGCATTTTGCCAACCGAATTTCACTCGGTTATTCTACTTTAAGTAAGAGTAGCATGGCGCAGAAGTCAAGTAAGAGCTATTGAATTCTGCCGGTGTACAACACCTTTAGAATACCGAATCAATGTCGTCTTCGTTCCAACGTTCTCTTCAAGCGAGCTACTACTGAGAACTACCCAATAACCAATTTAACAGGTGCTGACTAGTTCAGCAATTTCATTTA